AAGAAAGCACTGTCAGTGTTCAGGCTATACAACACCGTTTGTGTTACAGCATGTTCAGGAGGTCCTGTATATCACTCATGATGCTAATACGAGAGCAGAAAGATATACGAACGCCAATGTCAAAGAAAACAGATTCCCTGAGGATTATATCGGGGGACATATGACCTGAAGGAACTGTGGGACAGCCACATTTGCGATCATGCAGAAGCTCCGGCCATTGTACATAGAGGTGAGGGTCAGTCAGCAGGACAATGCACGTCTGACAGTATGAAGTGCAGGTCACTGTTCCAATACGTGGCCATGGCCAGTGGCCAGTAGTTGGTCTCGTGGGCCAACTACGTAGCCTGTCTCGTTATCTTGAGGTTATCTCGAGATGATTTCGGGGCTCTAGTGTCCTCCACCCCCAGGAAGCAACCCGTGACAGCTGACTAACTCCCAGGTACCTATTTACTGCTAGGTAACAGGGGCATCAGGGTGAAAGAAACTCTGCCTATTGTTTCTCTCCGGCGCCCGGGATCGAACCCGGGACCACAGGATCACGCGTCCAGTGTTGTGTCCGCTCAGATGCCGGCTCCCCTGAACCTTGCCACAGGTTCCTGCGGCTTCGCCAGCAGAGGAAGGCCATGGAGATGGGCCACCTTTTATAGTAATAGTAGGCATCCATCAGTGTCACGAAGTTGTGCAAATCTGTTATTCGTACAAGCCAACCATCTATGGCGCCAACGGTCGCGGACTGTGTTAGGAATGACGGGGAACAAATACCAAGTATTCGTTTGAGAGAGATGGGGACAGGCAGGCAGGAGTGGCAGCGACTGAGCACTCCTGGGAAGACGGCTGAACTTTCTCATCCTAGAGACCTGAGTGTGTGTTCCTTGCCCCTCACCGACCTCTCTGGTCTGTTGGTCCTCGTCTTCACAACAACACTTCAATTCATGCCACAAAAAATGAGAACTCGTCATTTTTTAACTTATTTGGGATTCCACGTTTTGCAATTTTATGACGTTCACATAGTTAACATATACAACTGATTATGTGTTAGCTTCCGATATTATGTGAATAAAATTAATATAAATAACTAGCCTGTTGACATACTGCCATTATATATATATATATATATATATATATATATATATATATATATATATATATATATATATATATATATATATATATATATATATATATATATATATATATATATATATATATATATATATATATATATAATATCCACACTACCCAAAGCTGGCATTAACGTCCACTCTCATATGTTCTTGTAAAAGAAAAAACAATATTTTGAGGTAAAACTCAAATATCTAAGACTTTTATAGGTTACTTCTCTAATATTGACCAACTAGTGAGGTTCGGTCCCACATACAGCTGGCTAGAGGATCGGTGAGTCGCCTGGCGCACCTTCGCCAGTGATATTGCCTGCGGGGGGACCCCACCTACCCCTGCTGGCGACCCCATCTACCCCTGCTGGCGACCCCACCTACCCCTGTGGGCGACCCCACCTACCCCTGCGGGCGACCCCTGCGAGCGACCCCACCTACCCCTGCGGGCGACCCCTGCGAGCGACCCCACCTACCCCTGCGGGCGACCCCTGCGAGCGACCCCACCTACCCCTGCGGGCGACCCCTGCGAGCGACCCCACCTACCCCTGCGGGCGACCCCTGCGAGCGACCCCACCTACCCCTGCAGGCGACCCCTGCGAGCGACCCCACCTACCCCTGCGGGCGACCCCTGCGAGCGACCCCTGCGAGCGACCCCACCTAACCCTGCGCGCGACCCCTGCGAGCGACCCCACCTACCCCTGCGGGCGACCACTGCCAGCGACCCCACCTACCCCTGCGGGCGACCCCTGCGAGCGACCCCACCTACCCCTGCGGGCGACCCCACCTACCCCTGCGGGCGACCCCTGCGAGCGACCCCACCTACCCCTGCGGGTGACCCCTGCGAGCGACCCCACCTACTCCTGCGGGCGACCCCACCTACTCCTGCGGGCGACCCCTGCGAGCGACCCCACCTACTCCTGCGGGCGACCCCTGCGAGCGACCCCACCTACTCCTGCGGGTGACCCCTGCGAGCGACCCCCTACTCCTGCGGGCGACCCCTGCGAGCGACCCCACCTACTCCTGCGGGCGACCCCTGCGAGCGACCCCACCTACTCCTGCGGGCGACCCCTGCGAGCGACCCCACCTACCCCTGCGGGCAACCCCTGCGGGCAACCCCTGCGAGCGACCCCACCTACCCCTGTGAGCGACCCCCACCTACCCCTGCGGGCGACCCCTGCGAGCGACCCCACCTACCCCTGCGGGCGACCCCTGCGAGCGACCCCACCTACTCCTGCGGGCGACCCCTGCGAGCGACCCCACCTACCCCTGCGAGCGACCCCACCTACCCCTGCGAGCGACCCCACCTACCCCTGCGGGCGACCCCTGCGAGCGACCCCACCTACCCCTGCGAGCGACCCCACCTACCCCTGCGGGCGACCCCTGCGAGCGACCCCACCTACTCCTGCGGGCGACCCCTGCGAGCGACCCCACCTACTCCTGCGGGCGACCCCTGCGAGCGACCCCACCTACTCCTGCGGGCGACCCCTGCGAGCGACCCCACCTACCCCTGCGGGCGACCCCTGCCAGCGACCCCACCTACTCCTGCGGGCGACCCCTGCGAGCGACCCCACCTACCCCTGCGGCGACCCCTGCGAGCGACCCCACCTACTCCTGCGGGCGACCCCTGCGAGCGACCCCACTACCCCTGCGGGCGACCCCTGCGGCGACCCCACCTACCCCTGCGGGCGACCCCTGCGAGCGACCCCACCTACTCCTGCGGGCGACCCCTGCGAGCGACCCCACCTACTCCTGCGGGCGACCCCTGCGAGCGACCCCACCTACCCCTGCGGGCGACCCCTGCGAGCGACCCCACCTACCCCTGCGAGCGACCCCACCTACCCCTGCGGGCGACCCCTGCGAGCGACCCCACCTACCCCTGCGGGCGACCCCTGCGAGCGACCCCACCTACCCCTGCGAGTGACCCCCCTACCCCTGCGGGCGACCCCATCTACCCCTGCGGGCGACCCCTGCGAGCGACCCACCTACTCCTGCGGGCGACCCCTGCGAGCGACCCCACCTACCCCTGTGGGCGACCCCTGCGAGCGACCCCACCTACCCCTACGAGCGACCCCACCTACCCCTGCGGGCGACCCCTGCGAGCGACCCCACCTACCCCTGCGGGCGACCACTGCCAGCGACCCCACCTACCCCTGCGGGCGACCCCATCTACCCCTGCGGGCGACCCCTGCGAGCGACCCCACCTACTCCTGCGGGCGACCCCTGCGAGCGACCCCACCTACTCCTGCGGGCGACCCCACCTACCCCTGCGGGTGACCCCTGCGAGCGACCCCACCTACCGGGGAGCCGGTCGGCCGAGCGGACAGCACGCTGGACTTGTGATCCTGTGGTCCTGGGTTAGATCCCAGGCGCCGGCGAGAAACAATGGGCAGAGTTTCTTTCACCCTATGCCCCTGTTACCTAGCAGTAAAATAGGTACCTGGGTGTTAGTCAGCTGTCACGGGCTGCTTCCTGGGGGTGGAGGCCTGGTCGAGGACCGGGCCGCGGGGACACTAAAGCCCCGAAATCATCTCAAGATAACCTCAAGATAACCCCTGTGGGCGACCACTGCCAGCGACCCCACCTACCCCTGCGAGCGACCCCACCTACTCCTGCGACCCCTGCGAGCGACCCCACCTACCCCTGCGGGCGACCTACCTGCGGGCGACCCCTGCGAGCGACCCCACCTACCCCTGCGGGCGACCCCTGCGGGCGACCACACCTACCCCTGCGGGCGACCACACCTACCCCTGCGGGCGACCACACCTACCCCTGCGGGCGACCACACCTACCCCTGCGGGCGACCACACCTACCCCTGCGGGCGACCACACCTACCCCTGCGGGCGACCACACCTACCCCTGCGGGCGACCACACCTACCCCTGCGGGCGACCACACCTACCCCTGCGGGCGACCCCACCTACCCCTGCGAGCGACCCCCTACCCCTGCGAGCGACCACCTACCCCTGCGAGCGACCACACCTGCGGGCGACCCCCTACCTGCGGGCGACCCCTGCGAGCGACCCCACCTACCCCTGCAGGCGACCCCTGCGAGCGACCCCACCTACCCCTGCGGGCGACCCCTGCGAGCGACCCCACCTACCCCTGCGGGCGACCCCTGCGAGCGACCCCACCTACCCCTGCGAGCGACCCCACCTACCCCTGCGAGCGACCCCACCTACCCCTGCGGGCGACCCCTGTGAGCGACCCCACCTACCCCTGCGGGCGACCCCATCTACCCCTGCTGGCGACCCCACCTACCCCTGCGGGCGACCCCAGCGAGCGACCCCACCTACCCCTGCGGGCGACCCCTGCGAGCGACCCCACCTACCCCTGCAGGCGACCCCTGCGAGCGACCCCACCTACCCCTGCGGGCGACCCCTGCGAGTGACCCCACCTACCCCTGCGAGCGACCCCACCTACCCCTGCGGGCGACCCCTGCGAGCGACCCCCCACCTACCCCTGCGGGCGACCCCTGCAAGCGACCCCACCTACCCCTGCGGGCGACCCCTGCGAGCGACCCCACCTACCCCTGCGGGCGACCCCTGCGAGCGACCCCACCTACCCCTGCGGGCGACCCCTGCGAGCGACCCCACCTACCCCTGCGAGCGACCCCCACCTACCTCTGCGGGCGACCCCTGCGAGCGACCCCACCTACCCCTGCGGGCGACCCCTGCGAGCGACCCCACCTACCTCTGCGGGCGACCCCTGCGAGCGACCCCACCTACCCCTGCGGGCGACCCCTGCGAGCGACCCCACCTACCCCTGCGGGCGACCCCTGCGAGCGACCCCACCTACTCCTGCGGGCGACCCCTGCGAGCCCCTGCGAGCGACCCCACCTACCTGCGGGCGACCCCTTGTTGGACCCCTGCGAGCGACCCCACCTACCTGGGATTGTTGGAGCGTGTGAGCGTCTCTTCGCTGGTAGCGTGACGGAGTCTGACCTTGGTCTTGGCGGCTGGCAGCGGCGGCTTGGACGATACCTGCAGCAAGGCGACAAACGTCAATAAAACTCATGACGCCTTAACTCACTCCACACTGTTGTGCCTAACTGGAAGAGCATCTGAACGTCTTGGGAGGAACACGTAACACTGCACATCCAAGTAAAGGGTTCTATAACGCCCTTATACTACTACAGTGGAGAATCATATACGGCTGTACATCTAACTTAAAGGTTCTAACCTCCTCTATACCACAGTGAAGCTGGATTACTTACCAATACACTTCAGAAGAATGTCAAGGCACTTTTTACACTTCAACAGTCGCTCTCAGGCCGCACTACGCCAGATGAATGGACAATACTCTCCATCTTGGCGAAGGGTTATCAACATTATAGCTTAGTAACTGGGGTACATAAGTGCCTACGTGCACACACACGCACACACACACACGCACACACACACACACACACACACACACACACACACACGCACACACACACACACACACACACACACACACACACGCACACACACACACACGCACACACACGCTGGCCAATAAGTGTTGCCCCTACACACACACACTTCAGCGTTAACCACACACCCGCTCCACACCAACTCACCACACGCACCTCACACACTCACCATCACTTGCAACCATATATTAAAAACACATAATACTTCGAACAGTCACAGCCCCGCTCCTGTGCCGGATAAGTCCACTACGGGCTCACTATAGCCGGTGCTACTTGTAAATTTGTGTTCCCAGTAGCTGAATCTAAAACAAAATGAACAACATTTCGAACAGTGCGTTTACGTCAACTAAGAAAGGCATCCTCCACTTCCCTCGTATATTAAGAGCAAGACGTATTCCCAGCTTCACTCACAACGTACTGGCTTAACGTACAACGTACGTTAATGACAACGTACTTAACAACGTACTGGCAGCTTCATAACGGTATTTAATGTATGACAAAATCTTCCTCTAACAAACAACTCATTTCCAACTTTACCAACAACTTAATAAACCATATTTTCAAATTTAAATTAAGTTGGTGATTTTAATAAGTCATTGATAATGAGAATAGCTGGAGTTTTCCCTAGAGGCTTTTCCTACATTCGTTAGTAAATAAATAAAATAAACAAGTAAATAAATAAGCAAATGACTCACTATTACGTACGAACTAAGAACATATAAATGTGCATAAGACCTATTAGCCCACGCTAGGCAGCTCTTAACTATAACCAACTAAACCTAACTATAACTAACCAAATCTAACTATAACCAACGAAACACAAGGTACGTGTGTCTAGCCTCGCCCTGAAACACTACATATAACCAGCCCTCTTCTATGTCACCCGGTAATCTGTACCGTAAATCAACAGCTCTGTACCATCTCGTTGGTCTGTGTGACACCAAACTCCCGGTAATGATGCTGAACCTTGAGTAAGGCAGGTATTACAGGTGTTACAGGTACAGCAGGTCGCACCGCTGTACCTGATATTAATCTCACTAAATTATTTATTCCTGGTGATTAATTCAGACTGTAATCTTGAGGAGGAACGAGTTACTTGTAACGTGCCTTCGTTCTCAATACTTTGACCCTCTCTTTTACGTATATTAAATGTGCAAAATCATTCATTTTAACGAGTAAAATTAGCCTCCATATGAAAACAGTAATTCTACAAAATTGGTTTATAACATAGTTTAAACACAACCTTCTATAACTCATTCAAGCCTAAACCTCACTAGGCATGGCATTAATGGTGGATCAATAATGAAGGGAAAGAAGACATGACTTACACTAAACACGTGAGTTATATTTGCACAACAAATATAACTCACAGTTACATTTGTTATACCTTCCATATTTGTAAAGATGACTGTATATATAACATTAAAATATCTGAAGGAGTGATATAGGCTGACCTGTTGGAGGTCCCCGAGGCTGGTAGACAAAGAGTGAGGCACAGACCAGCCGGCGCCCTTCTCCATGGTAGCCTCCGTCAGGGCCTCGACGCCCGCCCCTGCCCCGGCCTCCGCCCCAGCCACAGCTGCCGCCGCTGCTGCAGAAGGGCCACTACTCAGGTTTCCGGTTGACTTGGACAGCTTTCCGTGAGGTTTTTCAATGGGACGGAAGCCAAACTCCATTGGATCGGGGCTAAACTTTGTAACCGGCAACGTTTTGGTGCCTCTTAGGTCTCCAGTGCTGGCCGAGTGCGCCCGCTGCGGCTGGCACTGCTGCTTCGGTCTGACAGACGGTTCCTGCTGCAATAACGATGTTTGCTGAATGATCAGCTGGTCATCCATGCTGGTCCTCTCTGATGAACGTCGTCGCTGCTCGCGCTCGTTTTGCTTTCGGATTTGGCGCTCTAAATTGCGAATGGACTTTTCCTGCGCTTCGTAGAGCTCCTCTTCGCTCTGAGCACGAAGCTCGGCAAACTTTTCCTCCTGATGCGGCGAGTCGTCCTCATCCTCGGGAACACTGTCCCACTCAGAGGCGTAGTCGTCCGAGTCGTAGAGATGCGCGCGCTTCTTCTCCTCCAGATGCCGGCGGTAGTTTTCATAGGCTTCTGCCTCTTGCCTCATCCTCTCCTCTTCTTGACGCTTCATCTCCTCTAGGCGCTGCTGCTCCTCCACTTCCTCTTCGCTCTTCTTCAGCTCCTTCAGTCGCTGTTCTTCAACTTGCTCTTGTAATAATTGCAGCTCGTCTTCTTCCTGTTCTTGCGCTCTTCTACGCTTCTGCATTTTTCTACTTTCTTCTTGTTTCATCTCTTCTTTTAATCTGATTTGTTCTTGTTGTCTTAACTTTTCCTCTAACATCTTTTGTGCTTCTATTCGTTTTTGTTCTTCTGTTTTCCTCTGTTCTTCTAAACGTATTTGTTCCTCCTTTCTTTTCTCTTCTTGTAATCTCTGTTCCTCACTTCTTTTTTTCTCTTGCAGCCTTCTTTCTTCCTCTTGTCTTCTCCTCTCTTCCTCTTTTCTCATATCTTCTTCTTTTCTTCTCTTTTCTTCCTTTTGTCTTCTTTCTTCTGCTTTCCTTCTCTCTTCCTCTCGCTTAATCTCTTCTTTTCTACGTATCTCTTCTTCTCTTCTCCTTTCTTCTTCTCTTCTCTCTTCTTCTTCTATCCTCCGCCTTTCTTTTTGTTTTCTCTCTTCTTCTTCTATCTTCCTCCTTTCTTCTTTTCTCTTCTCTTCTTTTCTCTTTTCCTCTTCTTTCCTCTTCTCTTCTTCTCTCCTCTGCTCCTCCTTTCTTCTTATTTCCTCTTCTTTCTTTTTCTGTTCTTCTATTCGTCTTTGTTCTTCCAACTGTTTTTCTGCTTGTATCCTTTGAAGTTGTTCTAGCCGCTTCTTCTCCTCTCTCCGTCTTGCTTCTTCCAAGTGACGTCTTAGTTCCTCTGCCTTCTCTTCTTCTTCACGCATTTGTGCCTCTTTTCTCTCTTCTTCTAATTTCCTCTGTTCTTCTATTAGGTTTTGTTCTTCTCTTTGCCTCCTCTCTTCTTGTTCCTTCCTTCTAATTTCCTCCCTTTTTCTCGTTTCTTCTTTCCGCTTCATTTCCTCTTGTATTCTGATCTGGTCCTTCTTAAACTGTTCTTGTAGCCTCCTCTTCTCCTCCTGCTTGTGTTTCTCCTCCACTCTCTTCCTCTCCTGCATAGCTATCTGTTCGTGCTGTCTCCTCTGCTCCTGGCTCACTGTAACCGTCCGTTCATCCTCTCGCCTCTTCTGCTCTTCTATTTTCTTCCTCGCTGCTTGTTTCCTCTTCTCCGCTTCAATCAGAACTTGGTCTTTCTTCTGCTGTTCAGCGAAGAGCGTCATGGACTCTTCCATGCTGCCGAGCGCGGCCTCCTGTCCGCTCTTGCTCAGTGCGGCCTCCTGCCCACTTCTGCCCAGCGCGGCCTCGCTCTTAGCTCCCTCCCTCTGGTAGTTGGCGCCCTCCGACCGTCTCTTCTCAGCCTTGGTGATTTGCCCCTGGAGCCTCCTTTCCTCCGATTTGAGGTGCTGAGCCTCTTGGAGGTTCTTGTTGCGGACGTCGTCGGTGGACTGGCTCTCGTACCTTCTGATGGCTCCCTTTTTCCTTTTCTCCTCCAACTTTCTCTCCTGCATCCTTCTGATCTGCTCGTCTCGAATTCTATTTTCTTCTCTCAGTTTCTCCTCGTCCTCTTTCCGCATTGGTGTCACATCATCCCTTCTTAGAGTCGAAGAGCTCTTATTCTTCTGCGTTGGCGATGTTTCTTTCCTTGTCAGAGGTGACTTTTCCCTCTTGATGGACGGCGAGCGTTCTCTTGCCAATGTTGTTTGTTCTTTGGTAACCTGAGTAGACTGTTGCTTGATAACAGACGAACACTGTTCTGTAGTGAGTGACGAAGATTGCTGCTTGGCGAGTGATGAATACTGTTCCTTAACGAGTGATGAGGACTGTTCAATCTTAGCCACTGGTACTGCACCTCCATGAGCAGCTCCTGGCGGGTCTTTGCGGGTCGTCGGCAACGGGTGGCTGGAGCCTGATTCTGATTCCCGCCTCTTGGCGATCATCATTAGTTCCTCCAACCGCCGCTTCTCCAGGATCAACTGCTGTAACTGCCTTCTCTTTTGTTCCTCTGTTAACAGCATTGGGTCTTGAATCTCCATGGGAGGTTCTCTCACTGTCTTTGGTAATAATGTCTTTGGTATCGCGGATAATTGAGAGGAAGACTGCGAGCTTTGGACAGTTTGTTGTGATGCCTGTATTTCTTGGTGTGTATGGAGGGATGACTGACTCAGTGACTGCATCTGATGACCGTGATGAGACTGCAATAGATGAAGCTTAGCTGACAGATGCTGAGAATTCAGAGATGGTTGCTGAGTTTGTTCTGGATGAGAGTGCTGTTGGGACGTTTGATGGAGCTGTGTGGGAGAGAGCACCTGTGGAGGAGAAAACATCTGCATGGGCGTCGAGTACGTCGAGGTCGAGAAACTTGGCTGAGGAGACGAGAATATTTCAGTAGGCGATGAGAACTGCGGCGGAGTGGCGTACTGGGTGGACGGAGAGGACAGCTGTGGAATCGTATCCCGGCCGAACTGCGGCGTCGACGAGCAGCGTTTATCTGGAGACTGCGGCAAGGTAGGAGGAGAGAACCTGTTTGGCGGCGACTGTGCTAGTCTCAGAGGGGAGGAATATCGCTGTGGTGAAGAGACAGACTGTGGTGACTGGGCTCTGTGAGATGTGACTGACTGCGGGAGAGGAGGGGACCCCGCAGATATGGACTTCCGTTGTTGTTCCTTCTGACGTCTTCTCTCGAACTCCGCCTGCCGTTCTTCTACAACCTGTTGCTCTAACTTTTCCTGGTGAGCCAAATTTTCCGGCACTAAGTACCTGGAAAAGACGTAGTGATTAGTGATTTATTCTTGGAAGAAATGCAGTGCAGAAAGAATATTCATGAATTGTAAAGGAGGGGAAGAAATATAGAAGACAAATGCAACTAACAGATGAAAGTTCATTAAAAGTGAGACCCCGTATTAGGTAAAGTCCTGCGCTAAACAAAGGCAAACTATTAGTTAAAACCACATATAACATATGTAAAATTAGGCACATATAAACAGAGCCTTCTTTCACTGAACATGACTGCATATTCTGTGTTGATTATTTTCTTGTTTAGGGCTTCTATCCCTCTGACTAGTGCTCTTGCTTCTTGGTTTAATTGGAAGAGGATTTCTCCAAATGTTATATTTGTTCAAGGTTGACTAAAAGAATAAAAATTAACTGTAGAATATATTACACTTATTATAAATTTGCACAACATTTCGAACCTTCAAGGTTCAATCTCAAGTGAGGAGACAGGTGAGGACATATCGTATTTACAATATCAGTTCAGTATAGCTGTGTCAGTGCAACAGCGTATACAATATCAGTTCAGTATAGCTGTGTCAGTGCTCTACCGCTCTACCGTCCAGCCCAAGTGGCTGGGTTTGTGCAGAAGTAGATTACCACAATATTCAGTTGTTGTGACTAGTAGGTCATTACCACTAACATAAACATGCGTAAAAATAAAATAGTTCATTCTAAAGTTCCTCTTCATCTCCCCCCCCCCCCCCCACCTGGTTAAACTTTCAAAAGGCAATGAGAAAGACAGGGACTATAACAGAGGGACAGGGATTATAACAGAGAGACAGGGACTATAACAGAGAGGGACAGGGACTATAACAGAGGGACAGGGACTATAACAGAGAGACAGGGACTATAACAGAGGGACAGGGACTATAACAGAGGGACGGACTATAACAGAGGGACAGGGACTATAACAGAGGGACAGGGACTATAACAGAGGGACAGGGACTATAACAGAGAGACAGGGACTATAACAGAGAGACAGGGACTATAACAGAGGGACAGGGACTATAACAGAGGGACAGGGACTATAACAGAGGGACAGGGACTATAACAGAGGGACAGACTATAACAGAGAGGGACAGGCACTATAACAGAGGGACAGGGACTATAACAGAGAGACAGGGACTATAACAGAGGGACAGGGACTATAACAGAGAGACAGGGACTATAACAGAGAGAGACAGGGACTATAACAGAGAGGGACAGGCACTATAACAGAGGGACAGGGACTATAACAGAGGGATAGGGACTATAACAGAGAGACAGGGACTATAACAGAGGGACAGGGACTATAACAGAGAGACAGGGACTATAACAGAGAGAGACAGGGACTATAACAGAGAGACAGGAACTATAACAGAGAGAGACAGGGACTATAACAGAGAGACAGGGACTATAACAGAGAGAGACAGGGACTATAACAGAGAGACAGGAACTATAACAGAGAGAGACAGGAACTATAACAGAGAGAGACAGGGACTATAAACAGAGGGACAGGAACTATAACAGAGAGAGACAGGGACTATAACAGAGAGACAGGAACTATAAGAGAGAGACAGGGACTATAACAGAGAGAGACAGGGACTATAACAGAGAGAGACAGGGACTATAACAGAGAGGGACAGGGACTATAACAGAGAGGGACAGGGACTATAACAGAGAGAGACAGGGACTACAACAGAGAGAGACAGGGACTACAACAGAGAGAGACAGGGACTATAACAGAGAGACAGGGACTATAACAGAGAGAGACAGGGAATATAACACAGAGAGAGACAGGGACTATAACAGAGAGGGACAGGGACTACAACAGAGAGAGACAGGGACTATAACAGAGAGACAGGGACTATAACAGAGAGAGACAGGGACTATAACACAGAGAGGGACAGGGACTATAACAGAGAGGGACAGGGACTATAACAGAGAGGGACAGGGACTATAACAGAGAGAGACAGGGACTACAACAGAGAGAGACAGGGACTACAACAGAGAGAGACATGGACTATAACAGAGAGGGACAGGGACTATAACAGAGAGGGACAGGGACTATAACAGAGAGACAGGGACTACAACAGAGAGAGACAGGGACTATAACAGAGAGAGACAGGGACTATAACAGAGAGACACAGGGACTATAACACAGAGAGGGACAGGGACTATAACAGAGAGGGACAGGGACTATAACAGAGAGGGACAGGGACTATAACAGAGAGACAGGGACTACAACAGAGAGAGACAGGGACTATAACAGAGAGGGACAGGGACTATAACAGAGAGGGACAGGGACTATAACAGAGAGAGACAGGGACTACAACAGAGAGAGACAGGGACTATAACAGAGAGAGACAGGGACTATAACAGAGAGACAGGGACTATAACAGAGAGACAGGGACTATAACAGAGAGGGACAGGGAATATCACAGAGAGAGACAGGGACTATAACAGAGAGAGACAGGGACTACAACAGAGAGAGACAGGGACTACAACAGAGAGAGACAGGGACTATAACAGAGAGGGACAGGGACTATAACAGAGAGAGACAGGGACTATAACAGAGAGAGACAGGGACTACAACAGAGAGAGACAGGGACTATAACAGAGAGGGACAGGGACTATAACAGAGAGAGACAGGGACTATAACAGAGAGACAGGGACTATAACAGAGAGAGACAGGGACTATAACACAGAGAGGGACAGGGACTATAACAGAGACAGGGACTATAACAGAGAGAGACAGGGACTATAACAGAGAGAGACAGGGACTATAACAGAGAGACAGGGACTATAACAGAGAGACAGGGACTATAACAGCGAGAGACAGGGACTATACACAGAGAGGGACAGGGACTATAACAGAGACGGACAGGGACTATAACAGAGAGGGACAGGGACTATAACAGAGAGAGACAGGGACTATAACAGAGAGAGACAGGGACTATAACACAGAGAGACAGGGACTATAACAGAGAGGGACAGGGACTATAACAGAGAGACAGGGACTATAACAGAGAGGGACAGGGACTACAACAGAGAGAGACAGGGACTATAACAGAGAGGGACAGGGACTATAACAGAGAGAGACAGGGACAATAACAGAGAGAGACAGGGACTATAACAGAGATAGGGACTATAACAGAGAGAGACAGGGACTATAACAGAGAGACAGGAACTATAACAGAGAGAGACAGGGACTATAACAGAGAGACAGGAACTATAACAGAGAGAGACAGGGACTATAACAGAGAGACAGGAACTATAACAGAGAGAGACAGGGACTATAACAGAGAGACAGGAACTATAACAGAGAGAGACAGGGACTATAACAGACAGGGACTATAACAGAGAGACAGGGACTATAACAGAGAGAGACAGGGACTATAACACAGAGAGGGACAGGGACTATAACAGAGAGACAGGGACTATAACAGAGAGGGACAGGGACTATAACAGAGAGACAGGGACTATAACAGAGAGGGACAGGGACTATAACAGAGAGGGACAGGGACTATAACAGAGAGAGACAGGGACTATAACAGAGAGGGACAGGGACTATAACAGAGAGAGACAGGGACTATAACACAGAGACAGGGACTATAACAGAGAGGGACAGGGACTATAACAGAGAGACAGGGACTATAACAGAGAGGGACAGGGACTACAACAGAGAGAGACAGGGAATATAACACAGAGAGACAGGGACTATAACAGAGAGGGACAGGGAATATAAGAGAGAGAGACAGGGACTATAACAGAGAGAGACAGGGACTAAAACAGAGAGGGACAGGGAATATAAGAGAGAGAGACAGGGACTATAACAGAGGCAGGGACTATAACAGAGACAGGGACTATAACAGAGAGAGACAGGGACTATAACAGAGAGGGACAGGGAATATAAGAGAGAGAGACAGGGACTATAACAGAGACAGGGACTATAACAGAGAGAGACAGGGACTATAACAGAGAGACAGGGACTATAACAGAGAGACAGGGACTATAACAGAGAGACAGGGACTATAACAGAGAGAGACAGGAACTATAACAGAGAGACAGGGACTATAACAGAGAGACAGGGACTATAACAGAGAGAGACAGGGACTATATCAGAGAGACAGGTACTATAACAGAGAGACAGGGACTATAACAGAGAGACAGGGACTATAACAGAGAGACAGGGACTATAACAGAGTGGGACAGGGACTACAACAGAGAGAGACAGGAACTATAACAGAGAGACAGGGACTATAACAGAGAGACAGGGACTATAACAGAGAGAGACAGGGACTATATCAGAGAGACAGGTACTATAACAGAGAGACAGGGACTATAACAGAGAGACAGGGACTATAACAGAGAGACAGGGACTATAACAGAGAGACAGGGACTATAACAGAGAGACAGGGACTATAACAGAGAGAGACAGGGACTACAACAGAGAGAGACAGGAACTATAACAGAGTGGGACAAGGACTACAACAGAGAGAGACAGGAACTATGACAGAGAGACAGGGACTATAACAGAGAGACTGGGACTATAACAGAGACAGGGACTATAACAGAGAGAGACAGGAACTATAACAGAGAGGGACAGGGACTATAACAGAGAGACAGGGACTATAACAGAGAGACAGGGACTATAACAGAGAGAGACAGGGACTATAACAGAGTGGGACAGGGACTACAACAGAGAGAGACAGGAACTATAACAGAGAGACAGGGACTATAACAGAGAGACAGGGACTATAACAGAGACAGGGACTATAACAGAGAGAGACAGGAACTATAACAGAGAGGGACAGGGACTATAACAGAGAGACAGGGACTATAACAGAGAGACAGGGACTATAACAGAGAGACAGGAACTATAACAAAGAGGGACAGGGACTATAACAGAGAGACAGGGACTATAACAGAGAGACAGGGACTATAACAGAGAGACAGGGACTATAACAGAGAGACAGGGACTATAACAGAGAGAGACAGGGACT